CATAATAGCTACTTTTTTAAATTGTTTCTGTTTTTTTTGGGGTACTGATGTCACATATATGAATATTACTCAAGTTCTAGAATCATGTGGATGAAAGATTTATCTGTGATCTATCCTAATGTTTGTGCATTTGTCTTGATTCTTGAAACAATTCTACCTCTGCTATTGGAGGACTTTCTAACACTTGCTTGTACCTTTAGTACGTTATAATTTGCTAATTGATGGTGTGCTTATAGGTATCTCTGGTGAATTGGCATGTTTGTACAGAGAACCATATGATCTAAGCAGAATCAGGATTTCTGAAGGTGAGGAAAACCATGCATCATCTGGACTAGCTAAGAATTCAGAGTCCTCTGTCAAACCTATTATTGCTGAAGGTGGAATTGGAGGAAGCTCTGGCCTGTGATCTTGGAAATGACGAGCAAGCACAATCATCTGCCATTCCTAACCAGACTTATACTCATCTAGAATATGGTGATTTTAACGCTCATCAGATAGCTATGCCGTTGATGATGTACCTCACTTCTGCAACATGAACCTTTAGATATGATCACTGAAATGGAAATTGACAGCGGTAATATTGAAGTTGCTAATGCAGCAAATCATTCTGTTCTGAATGAGTTCAGGGTATCATCCCCTACTGATCTTGTTACTGGAGATACTGTTAACATGACAGCTGGGAGGTAACCAACATCATGGATGGTTCCATGTTAAACATGAAGCATGCCTTCCACCTGATCAAAGATTTCTCACCTGGAGAGGATACTTCTGAATTGGATATGAGAAATGAGGATGGTTCCATGTTAAACAATGCAGCATGCCTTCCACCTGATCAAAAGATGAGTACTCACCTGGAGAGGACACTTCTGAGTTGGATTTGAGAAATGAAAAAGTATCCCATCCTACTGAAGTTTTAGAACATGATGTTGAAAGCTTTGTTGTAGCTGAAACTGAATTAAAAGCAACTGTTGATTATTGTTAGAAGAAAGTAAAGCCAGCACTTCAGTTGAGGTTAGTATGGCAGAGGCAGGCTACCCTGCACTTATAGAAAATGGAACCGATTCTCTTGCAACTATACGAACTGGTGAGTCTGTGAATGACTCTCAAAATGCATATGAAACTGGTTATGGTAAGGCTGGTGTAGCAGATGAGGCTCAAGTTGAGGTGCTCTTGGATAATGATGACAAGACACTATCTGTAAGGATCATGAAGAATGTAAACTGGATTCCACGTATTCAGAAAAGGTCTGTGTATATACATACATGATGCATCAATATGAGTTTTTCTTTCCTTAAGCAAAAACCTTTTTTTTCAAATATGTTTTAGTAACTGTTGTATATAAATTTGTTCTATTCTAGCGAGCATGGTGGGCACTTGAGAGTTCTCGTACTATTTCAGTTCTCACTTTATTCATGTCCTGCTGATGGTTTCTTCACATGAATTTATTATGTTCCCATAAAATTGTTTTTGCTTTGGCCTTTCATATTTTATTTTAGGCATTAAGAATCCTGTAAATGACTTTGTCCTATGGGTTGCAGGAATGTGAGGATGTTGCAATTGCAAATGATACAGGTTTGATCTTATTTCTTTCTGTTTTGCTTCTACTTTTGTGTTTTGACCAATGATGAATATTTTGAAAATCATATTTATTTAATTAATCATAATACTGTTATTAGGTTGCTAAATATTTATTTTCTTTCCTTCCAGAATTTCTGAATGTAGATGATAATGAGCTAGGCGTTGATGATGATGATGATGGCATGCAATGTGGTGATGAAAATCGTCTTCTTGAAAATACCGGATGGTCTTCTCGTACCAGGTTTGTAATCTACATGCAGTCGATTATTTTACCGTGGTTTACTTTCCCTATAATTTTAACATTAATTTAGCATTATTTATCAAATTATTTCTTGTAGCTAAATAATTGGAATGAAGCTAGTTCACATTCTTGATATTTGGTCATACCTTTTCTTTCAGGGCTGTTGCCAAGTATCTCCAGAATTTATTCGAGGATGAAGTTGTACCTGGACATAAGGTACTTTCTATGGACGGTCTATTGGCTCATAAGACACGGAAAGAAGCATCAAGGATGTTTTTTGAAACACTGGTATGTACACTGAAACTTAACTCTTAAGTAACTTTTAAAGTGCGTAAAACTATTATGATTATCTACTCATTAATGAAGAATGGAATATTTGTAACTTTAAGCATACAAGAACTTAGCATTTAAAGTTAAAAAAAATTGTCTCTGTTTCTGGAAAGTGAGAAGACATGGGCTTGTAAAGAAGACATGGGCTTGTAAAGAAGACATGGGCTTGTAAAGAAATCCCACCATTGCAAGCCTGTCTTGTATAGAAGCAACTTTTGCACAAATACACTAAAATGTCCTCGTACAAAACCCAATTTACGGATACCTTTTGAAAGTATATTATGACATTATTGTGAAATAGAACCGATCAATAATTCAATAGCAAGGATCAAATAATAAAATTGAATCTTGAAAAGAGTTGAAATTAGGAAGCAAGAATATTTTCATGATCTGGTCATGTGATTTTTTTTTTGATAAAAAGGAATGTCTCGTTAAAAACCCCCTTCATGACCGTCTAGCAACAAAGACTCAATGGACATTGGAAGGAGGAAAAGAGTGCCTTAGAAATTTTATTGCATAAGAACCAAGTACAGACAGCAGTACCCTACATGAATATGTTTATACCCTACAACAAAACTAACTCAAATGATGATCAACCAATTACAAACAAAAATCAGTCCCTAATGTTCCCGAAATACCAAAAATAGAAAAACAACAACCCAATTAATTCCCCATCATGTGATCTTTTATATTGTCCTAGTTTGTTTGTTGCTATGATGTGGAAGAATGTAAAACTTGCTCATTGTCTCCCATTCATTCCACCGATCCGCAGGTTCTTAAGACAAGAGATTACATCCATGTAGAACAGGGGAAACCCTTTGACAACATCTGTATAAAGCCTCAAGCAAAGCTCATGAAATCAAGTTTCTGATCTTCACGGGAAAGTTATTTCAGCAAAAAGTGCCATATTGTTGTAGTTCTAGTTCTGATGCTCAGGGGCTGCCCCACATGGGTAATTATTTTGTTTCGAAAATGTTATTCTTTTTCCCTTTCTAATACATAGTTGTTTAGCTCACGTGATAGGTAGCTTAACTGTGGGGAAGGGATAACACATGTCCTAATGTTTGATTGTATGATGGGGGATGATAATTTGTATGTATATATGTATACATCTGTAAAATATATCTCAATTTGCAGTTGAATATGCTAATTTATTTGTTTTGACTGCAATCTGCCTATTCCTTGAGGTCCTAATCATTTGCAGTGTCAAACAAAAGGATATCCCCTTCTTTGGGTTGGTACAGTTTAAAGCCTTGAAAATCATATTTGAAACTTGCTCATTCCAAGTTAATCAAAAGCTGATCCTCTACCTGCCTGGCCCGGTAACAAGAAGCGAATTAAGCTTTCAGAACTTCTTTTACTTATTGACAATGTTCATACATTTTATAGAGGTAGTTGCTCGAACTACCTCTTGAGAGAGTAATCAACTAATCTTCTCTTTTACCATTGATGCCTCTTGAATATCTTTGGAATGTTTTATTATCTTTGAAGGAAATATTCTTAAACCAAATATGGATATATAATTCAAAAAAATAAATAAATATTTTTTTAGTAATGATTTTTTTCGTAAACTAAATGAACATTTGGTTTGGTTTGTGAAAGATTTAATTTTGTTTATGTATAAAGTGCGAGACGGTGGTCTGGACAATTCACCCAGTTTAAGATTACGTAACATAGTGAAAAATAATCCACCGCAAAAAAGACAATTCACCTTATTTAATTAAGATAAGGTAACATAGTGAAAAATAATTCTCTGTTCAAGGTTTAGGAAAAATGGAGAGAGCTAAAGAGAGCTCTGCAAAAGATCCACTAGTTCAGGAACTTGTTTTGGGGAGCAGGGGATTTTGCAGAGTGGTAATGAGATTATCTTCATATAATCAATCCTTGATGTTATTGGTAAATTAAATTACTTAATTCAAAATATTTTTTCAAATAAAATATTCAAATGGAATAAGATCATCTTGAAGTAATATGAGTTATCTATTTAAATAAATTATAATCATTAAAAAATTCCATGAAATGGGATTGAAGGGTACAAAATATCCGTCAAACATCCAAAAATTGTCCATAAACAAAATAAATAAAGTGAAAGGTTCATTTCTCAGCAGAACTGATGCAATGAAAGCAAAAACGAGTCAATCCAAAACTATACAAGTGTAAAATCAATGAATCGAACCGAACTTTATAAATATTTATGAAAATCTTTGAAACTTCATCAAATAATATCTAGAAACCATAAAAATAATATTATATTCTAATAACTCAAAAATCCAAAAATTAATATAGGAGTCGAGAACCTTTAATGTTTTCCTTATATTTATTACAGCACAGGGGCAGATGCTTTAAGCCCTTTAGGGGCCAAGTACATCCCATTATTTGAAAATTTGATTAAATTTAATTTCATATATCAAGGAAAAAAGGAAAAAATTACAAAAAAAAAAGAATATTAAAATTTTGGAACCCCGTTCTTAAATTTCTGGATCTTCCATTATAAAACGTGTCATTAAGTCGTGTAATGTGAGTTAATATTGTTAATGGAAAACTAGAGTGGTGAAAGTAAAAAGGGTAAAACAAGTATTAAACCTTTTTAAACTTATTTCTGTTTTATATTAAACAATATGATTTCTGTTTTATATTAAACAATATGACGTAGATAGTTCGATCTGTCCGGTCAACGTGACAGACCCTAACCACGACAATAAATTTTATCCCCTGAACAATGGAGTGACTAAGAAACGAGTGTCTATAATGTGAATAACCATAATGGTCAATTGACTCAACTTTATTTTGTAGTAGTATATTTTAGCCTGTATTCATGGCATTGCCAATCAAGAATTCCCCTTCGCGCACCTATCTTCCTCAATAAACCGCTGAATCAAGATTCGAAGTACGACATGCGTAACGATCTTCATGCAATTTAAGAACCCTAACTAACAGAAATCGATCTCAATGTACTCTTCAAGGGGTATAAAATTAGCAAACCTCATTGATGATCATCTTCTCCGTGCAGCAGAACTCGGTCCACGTTGCACCGTCCCAGCTGAAGGCTGTCCTTGAGCAGGTACTTGGCCAGTAGCCTGCTCCTCAGGCATGTTCATTGCTTGTGTTATGGCATTCATGATGAGTCCCAGAGGGATCAAATACATCCACTGATAATGCAATGTGAAGATTCAATCATCAGGCCGGAAAAGGTTTATTAAGGCCAAGAAAACAACTAGTTTATACCAAATTTGAGTACTCACATATTTAGCCCAAAAAGTTTTCTCAGGTGGCTGCACAACTTCACCTCCATTCTCACCACCAAGAATTCCTTCAGTAAAGATAGGAGCTCTATAGAATAGAATGAAACATAGTCCATGTGATATAAATGCTACGTTTATCAAGCGGAAATGAAACAAAAGATGTTGAGATTTTCCAAAATAGCCACTTGAACATTCAACAAAGGTCAGGCAAAAAGTACCCAAAAAAAAAATCAAACAAGCTCATATTCCAAGAGAGGAGAGCGAAGGTTGTACTGAATTCTTTTCTCCCTCAAATTACTCTTCAAGTAACAATTACAAATGGACTTAATAGTAGCAAACAACACAATTGATGTTAAAGAATCATAGTCTAATTATCTCACTTTTGGACTTCAGATAAAACTACTAGCATTGCAGAAAACATAGGAGGAGAAGATACAAAAAAACATTCCATTTCACCAAACAGGTAATTTTGATGTTGAAGAAAGTGAGAAAGAAATTTTTCAAAAGCAGCATACCTCGGTGCTGCTCGCTATTCTTCAAAACTGTATATGAGCTGAAGGACCACTTCACAGGCTGAAAAGGAGAGGCTAAAATGCAAGGGGATCGTTATGAAATCAATTTTTTTTTTTTGAAAGAAGGAATCTCCTTTCATCTTTTTTCAAGGTTCCGTCTTATCAATATATACAATTGAACTTACATTTCATGGAGCAAATTATGCAAGTCTACAAAACTCAAACAGCTATACATGCTGAATAGCTCATAAGCTGAGGTCACAGTTTACATCAAGATGCAATATTGGATATTTGACATGGGTACCAAATGCAGAACTCTACTATGGTAAATTGGAAATATTTGCATGAAAGAAAACTCATTTCAAATAGCAACTAAAAGTTGATAACAAGTTCATCTACACGCAAGATAGGCTTCGTAAAATCAATTCCATATTACTTGACCCCATATTGATGCTCCATTTGGCACACCCTTCCAAGTATTTGCTTTTGTTTCCTCGAAGTACTCTAAAAGGACAAGGCTACAGTAACTCTAATTATATTTAAAACGTAACAAATATTCTAAGTATATTATTTTTGGCTACACACTTTTTTTTAAATATATATAAAAGTAATAGTTTAAATAAAGCATATGATCTACGTAATTAAACATAAGGATATTATATTAACTGAGGCTATAAGTGAGACGAGACAAATCACAAGTTATTCGAGATCGACTAGGTCAAAGCTCGAATTGAATAGACTCGATTCGAGTTCGAACTCGAATTCTTAACGAGTCAAAGCGAACTACTTGATACCCGACTCAAAAAGTTAGCAAGCAACTCAAAAAAATAACATATTAATTTTTTAGATTTTTTAAATTAAATTATTATTAATATTAACATTTATATGTTTTTCTTTAAAAAAAATAAAATATAAGGCTTTCATATACTTAAAGTTTAGGTTCGAGCTCGAGTTTGAGCTTCAATTGAGTTAAGTCTAAGAATCATTCGAGTTCAAGTCGAGCTTGAAAATTTTAAGCTCGCAAGATTTCGGGCCGAATCAAGCTTCAAATTTTTATTTCGAGTTCGAGTCGAGCTTGACAATTTTAAGCTCGTCGAGTGGAGCTCAGTTTTATTCTTTTCGAGTCGAGTCGAGCCCAACCCAGCACTACTCGAGCTCGATTTGGTTCGTTTACAGCCACTACTAAACGTGTAGTTTACCCTTTATTTTTATATGGTTAAAATTAACCATATAAAATAAAGGGTAAACTACACGTTTAGTTCCTAATCTATTACTTTTGTTCCGTTTTGGTACTCAAATTTTATTATTTTTCAAAACGATGCATAACATTTAGTTTAAGTTTCATTTTGGCACATGCTATTAAAAACTTGACGGTGATGTTGACGTTCACCATAAGGTAATATCACGTCATTATTGAAAAAAATATCACGTCAACAATTCTGTTAATTTTTAATAACAATGTACCAATTTAAAACCTAAACTAAACATTAGGTATGGTTTTGAAAAAAAATAAATTTAGGTATCAAAATAGAACAAAAACAACAGTTTAGATACTAAAAGTGTAGTTTACCCAAAATAAATCAGTTCTCTTGAGAAGAATAAAATAAAATCAATTTAACATTCGCATTAATATGAACATTCGTTATATATTTTTTTACCATTTATTATCAATTTATCATGAAATAATTGAGCGATAGACTTTTTATTTAAAACCAACACAATTTTACCAATTATGAAAGAATTAAACATGTTGAGAATATTTTTTTAGTTAAGTGCATATCCTATGCCACAAGTTTATTTATTTGATAGTAACTCTTTCATGTCATTTTCTCTTTTCACTTCTTTCTTTTTCTTTTCCCTTGGAAATGACAGTCAATCGTGCTGCCAAACATCAACCAATTAAGTTGATAGCCTTCTTTTGTCTGCCATTTGTTAGGCAATTAGGTCCACCAAGATTGTAAAATAATCGTTATAATCTAAGGAAATAAACTGGAGGAAAGGGGAAGAATAAAAGAGATAATGAAAGAGAAAACTGATTACTGCATTTAGGAGATTCCGGTAGTTTAAGTAAACTGAGTTGCTGACTTCTAATAGGACTTTTATGCTAAAGATAAAATTTTATCTAAAGACAGATATCACAAAGACTCCCAAGACTTATCCTTTCTTATCATAAAAGACTACTAAATAAACAAGGCTTCTACACGGCTGCAGTTTATTTTTAATTTTATATCTCATTTGTTCTTCTCTTTTTTCCTTTTCTTTTTATGTCCTTAATAAGGGCAGCCATAAGACTTGGGTGCTTAATTGCTTGACAGTGGCACCAATTGCGTATTTGCATTGCCAAATGCCAACTAATTAAAACCACCAGTAGCTTACTTATAGGTAACACATACATACAAGTATCGATACTCCAAAATGAGGCCTTCCAACTAGAATAAAAATGCATCGTTGGTCATATTTCCATCTAAATAGGACATGATAATGAAGCCAGGACAACAAACCTAAATGAATGTTCCTCGGGCAAGTGATAACTCCGTAAAAAGACTATATTTTAGGTCTTTTTACTTAAGTTATTGATTGTCTAAAAACCATTGACATAGCATTTTAGCTGCATATAGTTGTATTTAGGACATGTTTTCATGTGGTGGATAAGTTTTGTCAAGGCAAAGTTTATTTGATTAAACTGATGCTGCTGATGAGAAAGGTTGTTTGTTGATTGTGATGATGCAGGAAATGGTTGAGGAAAAATTTATTTGTCGAAACAAATTAATGTGCTAGGGCCAGTGGAACACAGAAGACGAAGACAGTGAGAAACAGATTTTTCTTGCCGAGGCAAGATTTATCTTGCAAGTCTGACGCGGATCTGACGAACTGCTGACGTCACCTGCCAGCTGTCTGATTGACCTCACGTGCAATCACACCCTTCAATGAATTGACCACCTCCAGCCACCTTTCTATTTATAGCATGGACAAGTCACATTAGTATTTAAGGAATATTCAATAACACAAAACCCTAGGAATTCCCATTATAAATACCCTATTATAGCCGCCCAGAAGGGGAGAATCATACAGAGAAAATACCATAGGCTTGGAAAAAGGCGGTCGCGTTGTCCTTTTTTCCACTGTTCCCCACTCGTCCGTCTTTGGTACCCTCCATAGCCAGGCTTCGCCGGGGCGGCGGCCATACCCTCGAGAGAGGCTGGTGCACTGGAGCAGTCATGGTGGTGATCTGATGTCACGGCAGAGCTCTATTATGGGAGTTTTTCTTCCTCTTGTTCTTCATGTTTTATTTTTCTAAGGGTTTATACTTAATGAATATTTTTGGGATGATGTTAACCACACCATAAACTGTTTTATTTGGTGTTGGGAATGCTTGGATGATATTTTATTTTACCGTTAATGAATGATTAAATATGTTTTTGTTAAGTGTTGTTTTGTTCACTGTTTTAACCTTTTGCCTTGACACTGTAAGAGCTTCGAGAGATTGCCTAGTGCCTAGGCGAAACATTTCTAGACCTTGTAAGAGCTTTCGAGAGATTGTCGTTTTTCTATAAATAGATTCTTAGATTCGAGAGAATTAAGATAGATCTACGTGAGCGATGGAATAGATCTGTGATGATGATGTTCTAACCTGCCTGCCTTAGAGATAAGGAGAGGGTTTCAATCGACTAAAAGGGATAAATGCTTGAGTAGGATAGACAACGACTATAGTTCACGCTGAGGGTATTGCCACAACAACAGTTTGACAAACCAAGGATTGTAGCTCTCGCCGAGTAGTATTGCCATAACAACCGTCTAAGAATACTCAGTAATCCTGTCGGACAGCCTAATCATAGCATACCAAATCATTCTTAGCATTAAATAACTTCCCGCCATAGCAAAACCAACCTAAGTGCCCCGTTAGAAGTCTGATTGTGTGAGGTTCAAGACTATTTACAGGGTTTTGATAACTTTAGCCTTGGCAACTTTTATTTTTTACCTTTGTATATTTTTCTTGTCTCGACAAAACTTTTCTGCTCACTTCACTTTACAATTTTTATTGCCTCGGCTAAACTTTTTCCATCTATTCATAGCATTTGCCATTGCATATTTTCCTTGTTTATATCATTGACTTAGATACTTAGGATTAGTTAGTGACACCTATTCCTAGCTGTAACAATCTTTTAAAAGCCCTTCAATCCATGTGAAGACAATACTCACTCATTACTATATTACTTGCATTTATTGTGTACACTTGCACAGATTTGCTTGCCTTAGCATATACATTTACAAGCGATCATCAGCATAGTATTAACTAAGCTTTCCATTCTATTGCTCAATGCTTAGTTCAAGAATGTAGCGAGCACAAAAGCAAAATATCAGAGCAACTAGCATTAGGTTTTCATGATAGTTGACAGAATTGTATTCTTCCCTAAATCTTGAGTAGAAATTAATGGCAGTCCCCAGTGACGAAGAAACAATCACAAAATTATCTCCATGATAGAGACAGAGACTAAAAAGCAAAGATAGATAAACCATTATAGGGGGGAAAAAGATCAAGCCTTACAAGTTTCAAATTTCGAGGGTAAGGGCATGATCCAGGAGAACCATAATTGACTGCCAAAACGTTTACACCCTCCTGCAAACAAGAGCAAGAAAAGGGGAAAATAACAATGGCTCTGTAGTAAGATTACATTTAGCAGTAAACTGCATGAACCACAAGATTGACATCTTTACATAATATCATCCCAAATAAAATAAGGTAGAGATATGTCCATCAAATAAAGTACAGTAAACATAGTCCAGAGGTAAAATTTCATATGTGAAATGCCTTCTAAAATATATTTATGCAGCCTGTAAATTGTTCAGTTTTTTATTATCAGCTACTAAAACATACAACGCAAGTAAATATGGTGCAAACAAGAATAGATCATATGCATATATAAGCAGCAAAGCTATTAAACCAAATAAAGAACAACCCACAAAGAGTACGAGGGCAAATTATAATATTAGAAATGTCTTTCATTTAAAAATAACTTCACAAAAGGCTCATCTATTTTGTTTAGTTATTTAGTTAAATCAATGACTCGTTATTGGAGCAGATACCAACAACCATTTCATCTAACATGTGTATTTCCTATAAATTTTGTTACAAATGATATAACATCACCCCACAAATGGGTAAGTAAATATTGCTAAAACAAGTATGCGTTGATAGGAATGTATAAGAGAGTTTACAAGGCGGTTCGAACACAAAACAAACCTGTATGTCAACTAAATGGCATTACAAGAAATTAGAAGGTAAGACAAAGTGTGACTGAACAAACTAATGGCCGGAAGTACTTAGGAGGAGATCCCTGTATAGGGGGACATTGAAACTAGTTTCTCCACTCAAATTATGAGTACTTTAATCTATATAATTTTTATTTAGAAGCAAAAATATAAGATTCTTAATAGACTTCAACCAACTTTAGAACGCAGACGTGACACATTGATTTATGACAATTTGTTGATGTGAGCTGTTAAAAAAATTTGACTGAATTTTAAGATTAACTTTTAGCTGATACTGAAAAAAATTAAAACTAATTTTTCAGTCACACGTGACATTTTGCTCATATGTCACCAAATAAATGGCCTTCAATGCGTCAAAACAGTGCCATATGATCCCAATAAATATATTGTATATATATTTTTTCTACCTCATTTTTCTCTTCCTGTTTCTCACTCTAATTTTCCTTCCCTCTCTACCATCTCCTATCTTTCACCATAAACATAAATAGAAACATGTTCCCGTCAGACTAATTGCCGAACATCATTTGTTAGCATATCAGTTTGACCCCAAATTACACCAAAATCCCTTCATCTTAAGCCAAATGCCAAAGTCTGATTGGTTTAATAATAAAACTACAAAACAAGGGAACATTGAATCATTTTAATCCAAATGCAACTGCTTACTCAAAACAAAGAGCCTTTTATGTTTGGAAGACCTTGCAAAAGGAAAAGGTTAAAAATCTAGAATTACTAGAGATCTACGTTAAGTAAAGTAACTTCAGGAGACAACAGAGCACGAGGTTTAAGAATCTTCATCAACATTTGGCTTTCAAAGAATTGCAAAAGCTTTTTGTTCTCTCGTCAACACCCGGGACGAAAAAAATCATCACATAAAAGGGTTGTGCATATGCAAGTAAACAAACAAAAAGGGGAGAGGGAGAGAAGAGAAGGATTGAGTGAGATCAACAACAAATAACCAATTTATGCCACTGAGTTTTAAATATTACCATGTGTATAACAAATGCTCATCCATGCCCTCCCTTGGAAGACATCTCTGCAGTTAAACAAATGATGCAGTTGAACTAACAAACTATAAACAAAGCAATAAATAGTAGAAAACAGAAAAACAGTGTCTAATTAAATATGATAGTGGTGCTATATTTACTTCACCCCCAGTTTATTTCCATTTGACAATTAAGGCCGCAAACTACAAACCAAATTCCTACTCTTCAATTCTAGATTTTCATCCTCGATATGTCCACATAGAAACTGAGCTCCCCCACCCCCCTCCTCCGCCCCCCCCCCAAAAAAAATAGCAGTACTACTTTTTGTTACAAATTATTGAGTTTCTTTTAGAAAATAAGTAAAATTTAAGGTTTAATAAAAAAAGATTTTATGAAAATAATACAAAGGAAAATGGAAAATACCATAAATAGCCTAAGACAATGAGTTAATTGTGATATAACAGTTTAAGACAGAATCATCCGCAAGAAGGAAATCAGATTTAGAACACTTTGCGACCTTTTAGTATTAAAGATTTTAGCTTTAGAGCAGAAGTTTCTTCTTGAAGAATTTAACTAAAGAAAAAGAACCAAAGGATTCCACTAGAAAGGGCATAATGTTTGAAATTTCAACAAACAAGCTGAAGTAAACAGTAGCACCTACTGCTTTCACTGATGAAATAATAAAATCCCTCCCGGGCGGACTCACAACATTAGATGGGAGTCTTATCCTATAGAAGTCGTCGCCTTCAAGCAGTTTCTGCAAGAACAAAATTAAAGAACAAAACATTCAAAATTCACCACACCACAAAGAAACAAAGCAAGTAAATAAAAGATTTAGATAATATGCCATTACTTTGAACTTCTTCTGCTCCTCATTAGTGAAATTGTTCCTTGAAAACCGTAGCTTCGTAAGTGTCTGTTTAATAAAGAAAATTTCAATTTAAAATTATAGAAGAACTGTTCTCAGTACACAATGAAAATGAGTTGAAAAAGTCACTTCGGGATTATAGGAACTTAGGTCATTCAAAACTTTCAGTCAACTATTAAATGCTTCGTTGGCTAACAAGAAACTGAGGAAAATAGGAGTAACAAACTAATCATTCCACGCAAAAGATTATAGATTTGTTTGGTATATCGCACATGATAGACACTGCCACTTTTTTTTTTTTTTTTGATAGGAAGGGGAGACCTCATTGAAAAAGAGAAAATAACTTCAGTGATTAAAAATGTCTTATAATATACGATTTTAACTAATTTTTTTTAGATTTGTCAAAATAACCAACTAAATCGCAGCGATTTACATATTCGCATTGCGATAGTCCAAGTTCGCATTGCGACAGTCGAAGTTCGCGTTGTGATTTATTCCAAATTCGTTGCGATAGTCCAAAATCGCAACGACTGATGGTATTGCATTTGTTTCTTAAGAATTTTATCTAAAAAGATAGTATTCGCGCGGACGTGTCAAAGACACGTACTACCACTACCACGACCACGACCACGACCACGACTCGAGACGAGACGAGACGGGCGGCGGCGCGCGAGAGTCCCCCTTGTTCTCTATCACTCAACAAAGAAGTGAGAAAGTCAAGTCTTAAATACCATTCCCAATAGTGTTTCCAATACTATGTGGGATTGAGTATTACCAACACTTGTTTCCAATATAATGTGATTATTCAGGAAACAATTAGCAATCATGCACCTTAAAACAACTGAATCAGCAACCAATTGCATTAGTATTATACGATTAAATATGTCATAATTAAAAGTCAATCTACAATCAATCGCGATTATTGCAATTTTAAGCAAAACATTCAAAAATAATATCACAATTTAAGGCTCAATCCCACATAGTATTGGGAACAAGTGTTGGTAATACTCAATCCCACATAGTATTGGAAACACTATTGGGAATGGTATTTAAAGTTTGGCTTTCCCACTTCCTTGTTGAGTGATAGAGAACAAGAAGGACTCTCGCGCGCCGCCGCCGCCGCCGTCTCGTGGACGTGGTCGTGGTAATACGTGTCTTCGACACGTCCGCGCGAATACTATCTTTTTAGAGAAAATTCTTAAGAAACAAATGCAATACGTCCGCGCGTTGCGAATCTGGAAACTGATTTGCGATACCGGAGATCGCGTTGCGAATTATCGATCGCATTGCGATTTAGTTGGTCATTTTGGCAAATCCAAAAAAAGTTGGTTAAAATCGTATATTATAAGACATTTTTGGTCAATGAGGTTATTTTCTCTTAAAAAAACCCCTCATGATTAACAGACCACCAAAACGGTGTTCCTTAATCAGCGGAAGGAGAAAAAGAGTGCATTGATTTATTAATAATGCAAACTTGTATATCATGGTAAAAGAATACACCAAAAACACCAGCAACAGAAACAGACTCCCTGCACAAACACCTTAGAAACAAAACCCAAACAAAAATCATCCAATCCCCTGTTTAGCCAAAGAATCTGCCTCCCAATTACAACTCCTAGGAATATGCCTAACAATAATCTCCCTAGCCGAAATTAGAGATACAATTTTCCCAACCAAAGAACTAAAGAAAGGAGGAGCAGTATTCGTCAACATAATCCAGTCCACAGCTACTTTACAATCGCTCTCAATGATCAGTCTTCCCTCCTTAGCCCAAGCTGACGCGAGAAAAAAATCAATGCCTTTCTCTATTGCTTTCAATTCAGCCAAAGGGCGAAGACAAGGGCCAACACCATTCGAGAAAGACCCTAAGGTATTACAACTTGAGTCCTTCAAAATGCCTCCAATTCCGCCCACTAGCCCATCACCTCTGACCGCCCCATCTACATACATATATATATACACTGCCACTTATAACATACATGTACCTCTTACTAGCAATTTTGAAGGGGCTCTGGGAATAGAAAGTGTTACAGAACCAAGCTGCTAGATAGAAATTGAAAAATAAAGAGCATAGGCTTCAGCGAACTCTTTCATACTAATGGCCTTTCTAACAACAGTCCAGTATCCAATTTTAAGATTTGGTAAGAATTCAAGTACCAGATGAATCCATTAACCTCTTAAATTTCAAATTGCTCACAGACCTTTCTTTTTTACAAGGATAAATACCGTACTTACCACTATACTACGGATCAATGTTGATTTTTCTCACTATACTTTCAATTGCATTAATTTTACCACCATAGTTCTATTAACTTTTGGAAAAAAATTACCGATGAAGGATATTCCATGGAGCTTACGTATTTTAATGAGTTAAGTAGGAGATTATGGCATGAAATCTCACATTGAACAAAACTATGCCATGACAATTGTTGACAACTACAATTTCTTACCACTGATAAGGTGAGTCCATTTTTCCTGTTAGATTCTCATTGTAGTAGGTTTTTTGTCTAAGTCAATTATCATTCAACTTTTAGGAAGCAATAAACAAAAAACCAAACAAAGTCTAAAGTAGGGATGGACCAAGGGTGTTGGGTGGTAGCACCTCAAGAAATATTAAACTCTCAAACTGATATAGTTAGTTTAGGACTTTTAGGTGTTTTCTTTGTATTTTCTATTGATGATCAAATTTTATAACTCTGAATTATTATAATTTTGTGCTACCTAAATTTCTAATATAACTTCATAAAAGTTCACATCCTAACAGAAAATTCTGCCTCATCCTCAGCCTATATATATAATTTAATCAGGAACTGAAAGGAATTTTTCAGCAGAATTTATACATATCGAATACGAAAATTTAGCTTTAAAAAGAACAAGGCAATTAAACATGGCCACCATGGCTCCAAGTCTTGAGGCGGGCGAAGAAAGTGCCAGCGAGAGAGAAGTCAGAGTCGCCGAAAGCGTGATCAAGAGATAACTCGATCTTGGAATCCGAGTCGATATCGGAATGCCTCTTCCGGGTGGGGGTTTTGACCGGTGCATATCGAGTGGATGTATGCTCAGGTAAGAGGAGCCCCCTCAAGTCCGAACTCTTCGTCGTCAGCGAAGAGCTCATCGGATTGGAATCCGAATGAATGAAACGAAAAGAGAGAAATTGTGAGGATGATAGCTACTACAACCTTGATCGTGTCCATCGCTGCTCTCTGCTTGCTTTTTTTCCGGACTAGAGTGAACGGAAGTTTCAGCTTTTTCGTTTGTACCTATAATTGGTTTAAAATATTCAGAAGACCCTGTATTATTTAAGCTTAAGCAATTTAGTCCCTTGTATAATGAACAAGGCTATTTTAACCCTAGGTCAAAAAAGAAAAAGCTATTTTACCCCCTTATTTTTGGAATCGGAAATCCCGTGTTTATTTCACGTAATTCGTTTTTCGGAAAAATATTTTCCCGTGTTTTTTTCACGTAATTCATTTTCCGGAAAATGTTTTCCAGTGTTTGGTTGGAGGAAAACTGGTTGGTCAACGTAAAACAGTTTCATTGTCAACAAAATTTCCTTTGTGTTTTCTGGAAAATGACTTACGGTCTGATTTTCCGTAAGTCATTTTCCGAACTTTTCACTTCAAAGAATAAATACTCAAAATAATTTTATTTTATTAATTTAATATTAATAAAATATTTTAATATCATTTTAATCAAAATATTAATTATTAAAATATTTAAAATATATTTAAAATAATAAATTATATTTTAATAATATAAGAAAATATATTTTTATTTTAATAATATATAATAAATTATTAATAAAATTTATATTATTTATTAATTTCATAGAAATAATATTATTAAATTATTAATAATGAATAATATTATTTATATATTTAATATTAATATAATAATCTAATAATATTTTAATAAATATATTTAAAATATACTAATTAATATTTTTAAAATATAATATAACACTATTACTTTAATAAATAATTAATATAATTTATAATATTTTTATTTCAATAAAATATACCAATATTAATATTTTTATTAATAAAAATTATAAAAATAATATTTAAATTATTTTAATATTTTAAAAATAATAATATTAAGTTTTATGATAAATAATATTATTTATTATATTTAATATTTGTAATAAATAATTTTTAAAAAACTCATCAACTAGTGGAAAAAATGTTTCAACAACATCTTTCAAACATCGTAAAACGTTTTTCTGATGTTTTTCAAAAAAATGTAATTCATTTTACGGAAAATATTTTTTGAAAAATATTTTCCAGAAATGTAATTCATTTTCCATAATTCAAATTCTAGTAATTCATTTTCCAAAATTCAATTTCCAGAAAACCAATTACAGCCAAACAAACATACCCTAAATTTATTTTAGTTAAGATGTTGACGTAACTATAATTAGGGTGGTCGAAGAAGTTATTATTTCGGAGTAAAAATATATTTTACAACTTACAAGTAACGTTTAAATTGCATAAATAACAATTTAAGTGTAATTAAAAATTTTACAAAAATAATAGAACCATATTTGAATATTACTTATAATTTTTTAGAGAGTAATAGAGTTTTGAGGCATTTACTTTATCTCTTGTATGCTTTGTTCCAAAGTTTATTTGTGTTGTTGACTCTCTTAGTAGCTAGGAGTAACCACGCTTGTGTTTGCACTTCCACATTATAGTCCAACCTTGGTGGCTTGGAGTAGTCACATTAGTGTTAAATCTTCTGCATCCTAGAAGCCTTGAGAGTTTTGTTCCAACCTTTTGTGAGTTTGCATGCTCACTATGTTTGGGTAAGGCTTACTTAGTCATAGAGAATACCCAGAAGTGTCAAGAAGAGTATAAGGTTGCACGTCCCATCATACCTTAACTCTGATATTGTGACAGTTTGGGCTTGAAGGTTCCAAGGGAGTGACAAGTGCTCGACGAGCATGGATGAACACTGTTAATAATGAGTACCATTAAATTAATTTATAAAACGTTAAATTATAAATGTAATTGAATTAAAATGCAATATATATATATATATAAAACATTAGTTTTTATAATCTTATTTTAATTATAATTAGACCATATATTAATTTGGAAAATTTATAAACCTAATTTATTTTCACAGCTTCGTTGTTGTCACTGTCGTCGATGTCATCGTCGTCGCCACTAGTGCCGCTGTCGTCACCAATATCATCTTTCACCACTGGCAAATGACACAGACTAAATCAACAGCAAAAGATGATATTGGTTGTGATAGCGGCAACAGTGAAGACGACGACGACTTCAAAGCTATGAAAATAAATTAATGTTTATAGATTTCCTAAATTAATATTTGATTTAATTATAATTAAAATAAGATTATAAAAAACTAATGTTTTATAAATATAGTTTAATTAAATTACATTTAGAATTTTTACTAATTTATAATTATATGTTTACTCTTTATAGTGTAACGTTTTATAAATTAATTTAATTATGCTCATCAACAACCGTGTTCATCTATACTCGACAAACATTGTAAAATTTTTCTTTTATAAATTAGTTTTATCTTGATACTACAAACTATTTATGTAATTGCACAAAAGAAAAACCGAATAGATATTAAAATATAAGAAATAAAAAGAGTAATTATGCAATTTTTGTTGGTTTAATAAAATACTCAATTAATATTATCATTATTAAGTTTTTATGATTTGAATTTTATTTTATTCAGTTTGAAAATTTTCCAATGCAATTAGATTGATTGCAAAAATAAAGTTTAAAATACAGAGGTTTTTGTGTCGAACATCCACTACTAATCTTGATCAAGATTCGAGGATAAAGTCTTGTGATATGAATCTGATTGCACAATGAATTTGTGTATGACAATATTTTAGGATTGTAAAAAAATTCAACTCGAGATGCTATATCGATTGACGGTTGATCTAGTAGAAAATTTGAGTATTTTTCTTTAAAAAATAAATAAAATTCACAGGTAAGATACTTAATCCACTAAATACTATGGGCTTAGAGGTTGGGTGCTGGTCGCATAATTTTGTTTGGACGATCTATTTTTATTTTTTAATTAAATAATTAGATTGAATTATTTCATATTTCATTGTTTTTTTAATTAAATAGAAAGATATTACATTTTAGAAGTAAATGTCATGATTTAAACTCATACAAGATATAGACAACATAAATATCTTTGACCACTCGACCAATTATTAAATCTCTTCATATATTATGTTTATGTGATTTGAATTTTTCAAAATTTATATTTATTTATGCGAGTTTTTCTATAATTGTAAAGTGTAACGTGTTTAAGGCGTTGCGCAATTATACTAATATACGTGCCGACAAATAATAAGATAGTAAGTAAAATCATTTTCACAATGATTAATGGGATTTAACTTTCAAGTATTTGCATTAAAATAAATCTACATAAATAATGAGTTAATGATAATATAAAAAAGAGTAAAATAATAAATTGTAGTCAATATGTCAAGTCAATTAAGTTGCTAAAGCAATTGCAAGTGATGAGATAGAGAAACCCTTATTGGGAAGTTGGTATTGTTGCCGAATGAATTGCACCAACAAATCAACTCGTTCAAATGCTAGACAGAGCTTCGGTTAAGCCCTCCAATTATGTCTAACAAGAGACTTAGTGATAAATCTGTCACGCAATAGCTGTTTGCGTAAACCCTAAAATGATTATAATTGATTAAATTCACTTTTTTTAGTCGCATGAAATCTTTTTTATGTCTGGTAAAAACTAGACTTCATTAACCTTCGAATAATTAAAATTTGCATCCAATAAATAATTTCGTGAACTTAGTTCTTTCAAATCTAAAGTACATAAATAATAATAAAGTATTTATGTTTAAACTATTTGATTTATGATGAAACATATTATCATCTGTAGTCCTCTTGTCGAGGTAGAGCATATCACTTTATTGAGTCTTCGTCGATAATTCAATACGATGAAAACTCACACTTATAGTCTTATTCCTTATTTGACGGCTACTCCTCACGATGAGAAAAAAAAATTAGTGTTTTTTCCCCGCTTTCTCCTAATGATCTTCTCCACCTTTTTAAATAAAAGATATTATAAAATTTAAATGTTTCATTAATTGGACTTGGTTCCTTATTTTTCTCATTGATTTGAATTGATTCCTTAATTTTTGAAAAGGAATAATATCCTGCACAACACCACAGAAAAAGACTCAGCCCCACAAGTGACATTATAATTTAATGAGTACAAATAAAAGCTTCGAAAATACATACGCAATGCATTAATGCGACTAAATGTTATAGAATTCAAATAAATATTCAAGTGTAAAGACATCAAATATACCCTTTTTCATAGAGTTATCATATAGTTTATGTCGACCCTCAATTTTTTTTCGTCCCGTTATTATTAAGTTATTATTATTATTATTATTATTTAAGATTACTAAAATAATATTTTTATTTACAGATTCGGCCCAAATACCTCAAACCCAAATTACAGTCCAACAAACCTAAGGATGAAAATCAACTGGGGTTTCATCATGTTCTAAGGCAGCCACCTAATCCTAACCGTCCGATCGAATGGAAGATGAAGGGCCCATATCAACCCTCAGTGAAGATTTCCCCCTTGGATGCTGTCGTCACCTTGCAAGAGCCGTCCGAACTGGACCCATCTAACGGTCTAGATCGAGCTCAGGCCATCGAATCTGGCACCATCACAGTCCTCTTCACCAACTGATAATTGGATTCACAAGTCAAACATCAAGACCAAGACAAACCCGTGATTTCAATCTATTTTTTACTTCACTCATGATGTTTCAGAAAAAACAAGAGAAAAAGAAAGTGAAAAATAATGTAAATCAGGGTCTATATAACAATCATTTTTATTTTGTTTTATTAGAATAATGATATGGTCTTCCTACTTATATATATATATATATATATTACAGTCGTTTCTACTTATATGGTCTTCCTATAATATAACAATCATTTTTATTTTGTTTGATTAGAATAATGATATGTAGTATGTAAGGATGATATTATTGGTCGTAAATTACATAAATACTAGTAATTGATTATTGTATATATTGGATTATTTAGATTGTGAATAACATAATGGTGCAATAGTTGATGAGCAACTTAATCGTTATACCCAGGGAAAGTACTTTTCATGTCTCTCTAACATAGGAGTTGTTTTAAATTAATACTTTTATTATTTAATGAATAATTAATCTTTATATCAATAAAAAGAATCGCATAAAATTATTTTTTCAAAAAAATTAACATTATATATTTAAAA